CAACTTGTTAAAAGTTTTGAGATATACAATGAAAGAACATGTGATACACAGGGACAGAAAGCAGGCAACAGACAAAGTGTCTGAGGGGTCCGGAATTGGGACGTGGTGACAAAGGCTTCCAGGTAGCTGTTTTAAATATGTTCAAAGGAAAACATGGAAAAAACTGATATCAAACCAAGTGTGTTTTGTAATCACAACGGAGTTGGATTAGAATATGTGTAAATTAAATAACGTACTCCTATATGGCCAGCGGGCCAAAGAGGAAATCAAAGGAAAGTAGAATATACTTCCAAATGAGTAAAAACAAAAACTGCACATATTAAATTGTATGGGATGCAGCTAGAGCTGCACTCAGAGAGAAATATATAGCTGTGAATGTATATAATAAAAAATAACAGATACTTCCTATCAACAACCTAACTTCCACCTGAAAAATACCGAAGAGCAAACTAAAAGCAAAATAAGCCTAAAGAAAGAAAGGTGAAAGATTAGAACAAAAATAAATGAAATAGAGAATAGAAAAACCATAAAGAAAAATCAATGAAACCAAACACTAGGTTTTTTGAAAGGTTCAACAAAATTGATAATCTTTTTGCTAGAATGACCAAGCAAAACAGGGAGAAGACTCAAATTACAGAAATGAGAGGGACTGGAATGTAATAATCTGAACAACATGATGCCAACAAAAACTTGGGTGAAACGGACAAAATCCTAAAAAGGTGATAGATGTGTTAATTAACTTGGTTGTGGAAATCATTTTACAATGGATATATAAATTAAATCATCATATTGTACACTTAAATATATATAATTTTATTTGTCAGTTGTGCCTCAATAAAACTGAGAAACAAGGAAAACAATTCCATTTTCAAAAGCATGAAAAAAGAATAAAATATTTAGGAATAATTTTAAGAAAGATGGCTAAAGCTTGCACATCACATTGAAAGAGATTGAAGACAGTCTAATTAAATGGAAAGTCACCATATATTTATAGGTTGAAGAATTAATATTGTGAAGATGAGAAAGCTCTCAAAACTGGTCCAGAAGGCCATGGAATCCCTATCAAAATACCAGCTGGCTTTTTTTTTTTTTTTTTTTGCATAAATTGACAAGATGATCCTAAAATTCATATGGCAATGTGAGGGACCTTGAATAGCCAAAGCATCCTAAAAAAGAATAAAGTTGGGGGCTCACACTTCCTAGTTTCAAAACATACATACTACAAAGTTAGTTACAGTGATCTGAGCTGTGGAAATGTCATAAGGACAGGTACACAGATCAATGGAATAGAGTTGAAAGTGCAGAAATTTATGGTCTATAAATTTTCAACAAAGGTGGCAAGATAATTTAATTCAACAAATGGCACTGGGACAACTGGATATCCACAAGTAAAAGAATTAAGTTAGACTCCATTTTGCGCCATGCACAAAAATTACCCCAAAACTGATATTTCTAAATTTAACAGCCCAAACTGTAAAGCTGTTAAAAGAAAATATAAGAATAAACCATGACCTTTGGTTAAGCAATGGCCTCTTAGACTTGGCCACAGAAGAAAAGAAATAGATAAATTGGACTTCATCAAAATTAAATCTTTTGTGTTTCAGAGGACCCTACCAAAAAAAGAAAAGGCAACCCACAGAAGTGGGAAAATACTTGCAAATCATTTATCTGATAAGGGTCTAGTATCTGGAATGTATAGGAAACTCTTACAACTCAAAATTGAAAGACAACCCAGTTTAAAAAAGGTGAAGCCTTTGATAGCCACGTCTCAAAGAATATATGCAAATGATCAATAAGGACATGAAAAGATGCTCAACCCCTTGAGTCATTAGGGAAATGTATATCAAAATCATAATGTATGGATGACTATAATAAAAAAGACAGATAATAACAAATGCTGGTGAAGATGTGGAGAAATCAGAACCCCCATACACTGTTGGTGGCAATGTAAAATGATGTAGCACCTTTGGAAAACAGTTTGGCAGTTTTGCAAGAAGTTAAACGTTGAGTTACTATTTGACCCAGAATTTCCACCCCTAGGCATCTGTCCAAGAGAAATGGAAATATGTATCCACCCCAAGATGTGAATGTTTATAGCAGCATTGTTCATGATAGGCACAAAGTGTAAACAACCCAAATGTCTGTCAACAGATGAATAGATAAATACAATGTGACATATACATGTAATGGAATATTATTCAGCCACAAAAAGGAGTAACATAAGGATACATGTTATAAAAAAAAAGGATACATGTTATAACATGGATGAACCTGAAAAATATTACTTTAACTGAACAAGACAAATAACAAAAGGCCACATGCTATATGGTTCCATTTATATGAAGTGTTTGGAATAGGAATATCTATGAAGACAGAAAGTGGATTAGTGGTTGCTTTGGGTGGGGTTGGGGTAGTGATCACTAATAGATACCAAGTTTTTTTTTTTTTTTTTTTGTGGGGGGTGATGAAAACATTGTGAACTTAGATTGTGGTGAACTTGATTATGAATATACTAAAACCCATTTAATTTTGCACTTTATATTGGTTAATTTCATGCTGTGTGAATTTTATCTCAATAAATATATTTTAAGAACTAAAAAAAAATCCCTTAGGGCTGATGAGAGACAGAGAGGACATACTGGGTGGCCCCCAGGGCCCAGCTCCTCTTGATCGAGGGTCCCCTGTGTCTCCGTCTAAGCTGGAGGATGGTGGCTATGCTCTTCCCAGGCTCAAGCACTGGAATCTGGAGGGAAGAAAGGAGCTCTTGGACCTGCACTGGCCTTGCCGCCAAGACATATTTTGGTGGTGTTTCCTCAGTGCTTCCTTACTCTGGGACTTCCTCGCAGTGCAGTCGCACACAGCGTGAGGCCCCCACAGCTATGGGGACAGGCACTCACACCGACCTGGGTGATTTGTAATCTTGGCAGCTCTTTCCCCATTCTTGTTGGTTGAGTCACTGCGACAGTCCTGAGAGAAGTGCTGTTATTCCCACATTATAGGGGAATCTGAGACCAGAGGGGTAAAGAAGTTTGGCCAAGGTCAATCAGCGTGTTAGGAGCAGAGCCAATGATCCAGCCCAAGGCTGTTTCTACTTCCAGTCGCTCTGTTCCATGTGTATGCAACAACGTCTGCTCCACTTTCTGCTGAGAAAGGAAAAAGGAGAGGACAGGGTCAGCCCTTCTGGTCTTTGTTTCTCATCAGGGATAAGGGTCATCACTATGTCTTTCCAGGGATAACAGTGCACAGGGATGTGACTGCAAAGTGTCTTGGGCTGAGGACCAAATGGTGGCATGTGGCATTCATCTGCTCATCAGAGGATGCCACTTTTTTTGTCTGGTCTACTGACAGAGCTGAGGGCTCCAGGCTGTTTAAGGATCTCATCCCAGCTTCACTGCAGTTGCTGTGACTGGCAGCACTAGTGTGTTGGAGAGCTTTCCTTCACTAAGTTAAGGAAGATCATAATTGTCGAGCTTCTGATGTCTAGTCAGCAAACTCTTGCTTCACTGATCATGGACACCAGGAAGCCCAGATGTCTCAGGAGGGCAGGCCCATCATATCCCCTGGAATTCCCAACATGTGCCTCCCTGCTAAGACCCATCCCAAATAATGCTCTACTCTTTGGGTTTATAGAAGTGTTTATTAAACAGCTCTGATAATACAATTCAGCGTTTGCTTCTTGTGACTTGGTCATCTGTCCCCACTGGGCTGGCTTGGGTTCTGAGAACAGAGCGGAAGTGTTGGGTTCCCCAGAAGCCTGCCAATCCTGTGTTGTGTGGCTGTCTGTGCCCATCACTTTCTCCTTCTGGGTGTGACAGGTGCATGACCCCTGGCTCCTCTCCACAGGGTCTCCTTCTGTGCACAGGGGTCCTGCCTGGGACACCTGGCCCATTAGGAATTGAGTGCCATTCCTGTCTCCTAATACCCACATTCTGTGATTCAGTCTCCTCTGACTGTGGTCTGGCAGATTCTGAAGCTCTTGGTGGCAGCCGACCGCGAGGGCTCACAAGAACATATTTACTTGTTTGTTTTCACTTGGTTTTACAGGAGAACTGGGTTACTGAGGGAAGAGAGCTGCTCATTTGGGAAACCTGTTGGGTTCAGGCACCAGAAAGATCATCTGGTTGGCCCTTAGTCCCCCATGTTTCCGAAGGAACTACTAGGGGATGTTGAAAAGTATGAACACATGTTTCTTATCTAGACCTTAAAGCATGTGCTCTAAGGGCTGCACTGCAGAACCCTGGTGCTCACACACACACACACACACACACACACACACACACACACAGAAACAATATAACTGTTTCTTCAGATTACATGTTCACTGAGACTGCTTATGAATAATGTGTCTGCTCTTCCTTGTGACAATCCCATGAACCAAAAGACACCTTTTAGAAACAAATACCATTTTGCAAATCTTTGAAGGATATCTGATTGAAATTTCTTTGTTCATGTTAGGTTAACTGTCACTTCCCTCGCCCAGTGTCCCCAAACTGACCTGCCTGCCCACTTCCCTCCTATCCGCCCCCCTTTCCTTCCTCTTCCCTCCCTTCATTGAAAACAAATGTATATTTATCACCTATTCTGCAACCAGGCTGCTGAGCATGGCGTGGCAGTGTCTCTGTGACTGATGTCTGGGGACCACCGCCTCCCCAGTACCCCCTGCCCCCCACCCTGCACACTGTAGGCACTGGGTGCTGTGCAGGGACTGGTGCCGCTGAATCCTTGTCACCATCCAAGACCTCTTGGTTTACGTCATCTGCTTGGAATCTCGGGAAAGTTCATGTGGTGGGGATGCCAGGAGTCCTCAGTGATGCTTCTGGAATGAACCCGGCTTTCCCTGCAGGGAGCACAGAGCGGCATTGTTTCCTGAAGGGCTCTGTATCTCCTGCTGCCCAGCACCCAGCCCCAGGACACACAGAGAAGGCGGCCCACGGCTCCCACTGCTCCCATCCTGAGGGCTGGCAGCCTTGCCTTCCTCTACCTCGGGAGTAATTTCGCCTGGGGGTTGGGATCTAGGGCTACCTCCAACACCTGCCCTGGATCTGCTCATAACCAACACTCCCGTGGGGTTGTTCAGAGCTGGGTTGTTGCATCAGAGATGGGATGGATGATGAGTCCTTGCTGAGTGCTGGGTCCTCGTGTCCGGAGAAGAGAAGCCCACTGGCTTCCGGTGCCGAAGCAGCCTTATGTGAAGCGGGACTGATGGTCTCTTTCGGTGAAAGCACCAGGATTTCCCCACTCTGTGTCCAGGAAGGAGGAACCTGTGCTGGCTTGAGGCAGCGCAAGCTTCATTTGCGCCTTCCTCAAGGATCTACAGGATCTGCCACACCCCTTGATGGTCCCAGAAGCCTAACTACCGTGGGGAAGTCTGGTCACGCCTTGAAGCCCTGATCTGTGACGACCCCCAGCTCCTGGGGGGTCCCTCAGGTATCAGAAAACTCCAGGCAGGGCCATCAATCTCTGCAGACCCCTTGCTGAGTGTCCCTCAGGCTGGAAGGAGCAACTCAGAACAGGCTGGTGTCTGCGAGAGAAGACAGGAAAATAGGGGCTTGTGGGGGAGGGATGATAGGGGTGGTGTCAGAGGTGGTTTCCTCCGGCTCGCTGTCCCCATCATCCAGGTCTTCAGTGAGAGACGGGATGATTCTGACCGTACTGTCCTCAAAGTGCACCTGCTTCTTCTTGACCAGCGAGTCAGCTGGCTCCAAGGTCAGCCCCGTCAGGGTGTCTGGGCACTGGAGGGCACCGGGTTTCTTGGCCCCCTTCAGGATGCTCTTCATGTGGACGAAGAGGGAGCCGGGCCCATCCTTGAAGGCCCCGTGGAAGGTGTAGGTTTGCTCGGTGTCCCCAGAGCCAGTGGTGCTCACGGCACTGCTGGAGGGGTCCGTGTACTGCTCAGGGGAGGCCAGCACCTCTGGGGAGGTCTTGCTTTTCTTCCGCTTGCTCAGCAGGAAGTAGGCCAGGCCAGTGATGATGAGCATGGAACCTGGAAGGAATGCGGGAGGTCAGGAGGCTGGACGTATGCTGGGGAGGAGCCAGACAGAATGCTGTCCGAGCCCACCATTCCAGAGGGCCACCGTGGCATGCTCAGGCCCCCCAGGCTCCAGCCTGTACCCCTGACTTGTCCTCACACACTCCCTTCTGATTCAGGGCCAGGCCTGCTGTCTGGCTAAGGGATATCCATGGGGCCAGCACTGCACTGGAACCTCCTCCTGACTGTTAGCCAGAGACCCCTGTGCCTGAGGTCCCTGCCTGTTGATAGCCACCCCTGGGGCCACCTGCCTGTCCTCTCATCACCATCCCTAGCTTCTGTGTTAGGACCTTGTGTTGGGCCGGACCTGCAATGCCTGCGGTGGGTCTGCACTCTCTTCTGGATACTGGGCTCCAACTGCAGAACTGGGCTTCCTTTCATTCCCAGAAGTGCAGAGATGTTCCTTCCTCAGCCTTCTCAGGAAAGATGGAGGAAAGTGTAAATCCTACTGGGTGGGGCTGGCCTAGCATGGGTCCTTCTCTTGGGTGCACCCTCCCTCCCTCCCCACCCCTCTCTCCCAGTCTCCAGCCTAGAGGTCTCTCCATCTCAGGTTGAGATTGCTGCCTTTGTTCTCCTCCCTGCAGGCCTGCCCTATCCTGAGGAGGCCTCTGGGTGTCTCTCCCTCTCTAAAGAGCAGGAGGTTGTGGCTCACCCTGGCCTCATCGTTGCTGAATCCTCTGGAGTCCACCAAGGGTTGAGCAGAGTGGCCCTGAGATGCTAAGACAGGTACATTAAGAGAAACCACAGGAAGGAAGAGGAGGCTCTGCCTTCCAACTTTGTCTCCCTGCACACTGGGCTTCCCGGCATTTTAGGCTGGTCACGAGGAGGGACGGGTTTTCATAGCTAGGGAGTGGGGAAGAAAAGGGTACTAGCAGAAGGGCTGTGGGCAAAACCCAGGGGTGGGAGCACGGCACGCTGGCTTCTAGCTGACTAGCATGGACTGTGAGGTGAGAGGGAAGATGATGAGGCTTGGAGGGTCTGCTGGGATCCCCTCACGGCATGCCTTCCAGGCTGAGGAGTTTGGACCGGAATGGGTAGGCACTGGGGAGACATGGGAGGGTTTGGACAGAGAAGTGACCATCTCATAACCTCTGAAGGCCCAGACCACATGCAGGCATTGGAGGAAAGTTCTCTGTTTGTGGGTGCAGCCTCTGGGCCTACAAGAAGGGGCATTCCTACTACTTTATCAACATGAAGGATGTCTGACCCCACCTCATTCTCTTGATCTAGGCCAAAGAAGTCAGTGGGGCCAGGGGTGGGGGCCAGTGTCACTGAGGTCTATAAGGGGGGATTCAGCCCCTCCTGCTCAGAATCCACCTGTGGTAGATTTCCTCCCTCCACTGGAGCTCCTACCTGGGATGGTCACGTGCCAGACCAGGACGGGATGGAGAAAGCAGGCCACAGACAGCAGCATGTACGCCAGGAACTTCTGGAAGCAGCCCAACCAGCAGGCTTTCTCCCTTGCTCTGTAGGCCAGGGACTCTGGTTGACACCTGGCAGCAGGGGGGTGGGGGTGGGGGCCAAGTCCAGGATTAGCAGGAAATAAGAAACAACCCAGAAAAGCCCCAGGACATGGGAAGCTATTAGAGGCTGGGATCGAGTCCTGTTGTGCCCATGTTCTCTTTAGTGGCCTCTGGCCAAACACTCCCCAGGGGCTGTGGTCCTCATCATGGGTTCCACAGTTAGGTATCTTGCCTGTGTCCTTCAAGAGGGCCCACAATTTTTCTGAAAGGCTGCCTCATCTGCTCTTTCTGTCAAGGGTGAAGGGAGCTCAATGATACCAGGATTCAGCAAAGTTAGTGGGAAGGAGAATAGGAGTCTCAGGGGCCTTTGAGAGGTCCCCAGTGGAGTGGAGGAGGCATGCAGTCTGGGAAACAGCTGGCTGGGACAACTGTGTAGACTGGGCACCGCACAAGCCGCTTGTCCCCCTGAGTGAACAGCCCAGAATCCAGCTCCACCCGGTTCACAGAGCCTCGCCTAGGCATAAGATGGCATCAGCCCCAGAGGGACCTCTTTTTAAAATGGCCTTCAGTTTAAAAGGTCCCTTTATAAACAGGCCCTTTTTAAACTGGCAGAGGTCTGATGCCGGGCCTATTTCCTCAGCACTCTTGCTTCCGGCTTTCAAAGAAGGAAAGGGCTTGCCTTAGGTTCATCTCCTTCATCCTGTGAATTGGTCTGTCCAGGCTAGTCTGGGGGCAGTGGCGGGGGCTGGAGGACGACAGTCTGTTTCAGAGCACTGCCCTCCACCTGCAAACCATAGCCGTGGCTCATTGGTGCCCTCTGGTGGACATTGTTTTGTGACCAGACCCCTGGCTGGGAGAGGAGGGAGTTCAGAACAGAGTGAAGTGCCCCTTTGGGTTCAGGGCTCCTCCCTCCCCTGTCCCAGAGAAGTTGCAAAGATCCCTTGACTGTGCCATTCATCAGAAAGGAAGAAGCCTTTTGTCTCAGGGCTGGTAACCTTGGGAGGCAGCCGATGGCCTTGCAAGGTGCTAGGACACCTGGATTTGAGGCCTGGCTCTTTCTCTGATTACCTAGAGACACAACTATTGAGGTTCTGAGAGCTGTGGTCCAGGGACAGCTCTTGGCCACAATGATGACAGTGTTTAGGAACTGAGCACTGCTGGATAGCAAGTATGGGCCTCTGTGACCATGTGTCTTCCCAAAGGGATCCTTAGAGCCCCTGACTTGTGCCTGGGTTCTAGCAGGAAAAAGAACCAGTTCTGCAATCTAGCTCTGCTGCCTCCAAGACCATCCGGCCTTCCGCAGGGTCCTCTCCTCTCCATCCGTGCCTGGGATGGCAGGTGCAGCTACGGGCTATTCTTGGAGGTGGGAATGGACTCTGCCAGGGCTTCTGGGTGGGAACGGGCCCTAGGTGGATGCTTCACTCTGCTCCCCTGGTTGGGAGCAGAGAAGGGGGGCCATTGAGTTCTGCGGGACTGAGCTCGTGTCTGGGCAGGGGCTGGCTGTGTGGGTGGGGAGGGCAGCCGTCATAGCGGCTTCAGGAGCAGGACCTCACCTGGGCTGGCCTCACGGGTGGTGGTATGTGGGGGCACCTGGGGCTAGGAGGAGACTACTTACTGGAAGCAGATGGCCAGCAGCTGAGCCACAAAGTACGCCCCTTCACACACGGAGACGGCAGTGCCTATGAACCTGTGGTGGAGACAAGGAAGGGAGTTCTAGAGCCCTCTGATCTGCCCTTTGCTCTTCCAGAGCCTCTTTTCTTACTGCCTCTGGGGCTCCTGGCCATCTCCTGCCGACAGACTGTCCAGGAGTTTCCTGACCTAATGCGGCCCCCCAGCAAACAGCCAGTGTTTGCCAGAAGCTGCCTCCGTGCCAGGGCCTATGCTGGGTCAGGCCTCAGTGGACAGGTGCCAGCCAGGGCCCAAAGATGGGTGTGGGAGTGTAGGCCACCGGAGGATGCTGCCTTGACCTTGGCCCCCTGTGTGGCCACTAGCCGGCACATCCCTCTACTACTGTCACTAACATAACATTTGCTGCTTGGTTGTACGAACTTGAAACCTGGATCTGTTCTAGATCCCTCTCCTTCTCCCTCTTTTCCCACTGTCCAAACAGTCTCTGGCCTCACCTATATGACCTGAGTTTGGGTAATGCTCCCTTGGCCCCTGGACTTGTCTCCCCTTTTCTGCCTCTCTAACTCCCTGCCCTCCCTTCTCCCTCTCCTGCTCTTCTACTCAGTCCCCACTGGCTGCCCTGAGGGCTCCCTCTGAATAAAACTGTAGTCTTCCCAACCCACATTGCTTCAAAATCTCCTCATGTTCCATGTGTGGTCCAGGGAATTTCCAATCCAAATCTTCTGGGAAATATGTGAAATCAAAGATTCCTGGGCCAGCCTCAGACTTTATATATCAGAATCTTTGGGAATGGAACTTACATGTTTTATTGGAGAGTCCTATATAATTGAAATTTCTTAGCATGCCTTTAAAGCCTTACATGAAAATCCATAGTCCTCTGACTGTAGAGGAAGTTACCAGGTGCCACAGGGACTTTGCACAAGCTAGCCCTTCTAGAAAGGACTCCTCTTTCCTCCTTTTGTCTGTCTCGTAATCTCTTCCTTCTCTGTGTTTTACTGTGTGACCTGAGCTACCAGCCTGTGAACTCCCTTTGTCACTTCCTTCCCTAATTCTTCCCTGTAGCCCAGGCCCACTCTGGGAATGGCTTATTGTTAAGAGCTCCATGGATATCACTGGAGTGAATGAATGAGTGAAAGGAGAGGCTACGCCACAGGGGAAGGTGGCTTAGGGCCAGAATTTCCTCAGGAACCTGAGCATTGCTCCTGCTACTGATCAGCTGTGTGCCTCAGGCAAGGGACTTGACCTTTCTGTGCATCAGCGTCCTCATCTATAAACTGACAGAATTACAGTGTTTCAGCAATAAAATTGTTAAAAGGTCTCAATGAGCTGATATTTGGAAAACCCTGCAAATGGGGCACATAGTGCTCATTTTGTAAATGTTAGTTATTATCATTTTTTTGGTCTCTCTCCATAAGCATTTATGTACTTAATCCCTATTCTCTCCTACTCTCTCTGTCTCCCAGCATTTCTCTAACACTTACTCCTCAGCTTTCAAATGGAATATCCACATTTATATAACGAGCACTATGCACCAAGCATGTTCTAAGGGCTTCACCAATATCAATTCATTTAGTCCTAACCATTTTATGATTGAAGCACTGTACTAACCCTCAGCCTACAGCTAAGGGCACTGAGGCACAGAAAGGTCAAGCTCCTTGCTAGGGTCACACAGCAGATTGGTAGTGGGGGCAAGATTTGAACCCAGCCCTTAGACTCCAGAGCCTGTGTTTCTAACAAGTACACCGGGGCACGTAGTTTATAAAACAAGCGTCACATCTTTTTCTAGATCCTGGAATGGGGCACAAGGAGGAAACTGAGGCTTGGGCTGTGGAGTGGCTCTCCAGGGGTCCTGTTTGGTGCTGTAGAAGCTGTGCCTCTCGAGGCCAGGAAGGTCTGGTCACTCAGGCAGGGCAGCGAATCCAAGCCGAGAGCCCTGCTGTGGTTAGCGGGATCCCACAAACCGAGGCCTCTGCCCTGGGGTGCCACGCCAACCACGCAGACCCTTCAGCCAGTGGTGTGGTTGGTGTTCATGGGTGAGTGTGAGGAAGGCCATGAGGAACCCCACAGGAAGGAGAAAGATGGGAGCGGAAGCTGGTGTGCAGAGAAGTGGGGAAGAACAAGAAGAAAGCCCATGATAGCTCAGTGCCTGTGGGAGCCTACTCTGAGCCTTGGCCCCTGCTGGGTCCCAGAGACACGGGGGAGGGAGTGACAGTGACACAGGGGTGTGCTAGAGTCAAGGAACACCCTGAGTGTGGGGGTACACAGAGGCAGGAGTCTGAGATCTGCCGGAGAGAGCGCATGTGTGCCAGGGAGAAAGAAGAGGGAGGTGGGAGGAGAGAGGAGGGAGGCGGAGCATTGAAATGGCCCTTGAGGAATGAGGGGGATGAGTGCGGGAGGGACACAAGGGACGGAGGAGTGGGGTGGGCAGGCAGGCAGGGGCTCCCATCCCTGCAGCTATGGAGCACTGCAGGGAGTAGAACATAAACTAACTCAGAGCGGGGAGCCGGCGGGACCTGAGGCTGGAAATCAAGTCTTCCTGGACTGGACCACCGAGTGACTAGAGGGGATTGGTGTCCGCTTGGGACAGGGACAGAGCAGTCAGGGAGGGGCAGGCCTCTGGGCAAAATGTAGTTTGCATTAAGTGGCTATAGACCTGACTTGTTATAGAAGGATAATCACATCTAACTCATACGTGAAGTGATGTTTGTGGGGAAGCTAGGTAGAGAGAGGAGGAGAAGACGAAGGCCAGGCTGGTTTCTGGATTCTGGGGGGACAGGCTCAGAAAGACATGGAGGGAGTTCAGAGTGAAGAGAAGTCGCTTGTAGGCGTCAGGGGCTCCAGGATCAGGGCAGGCTTCCCAGGGCGGAATGCCAGGGATGAACATCAGGCTTTGGGGACATCGAGGTGGGTGGTAAATCACCCTGGATGCTCAATGCAGTGAGCAAGGGCTTGGAGGTGAGGTGAGGCAGGGAGTCTGAGAAAGAGTCAGAGATTCCTAAGGTGGAAGTTGAGTGACAAGAAATAAAACGGAGGCAAGGAGCTGGCAGAGGAATATGGCCTGGAGGCCGTGGCTGTGGCTGAAGGTTCCAGAACAGCCCTGCGTTTCTAGGTGGCAAATTTTGTGGCAGAGTGGAAATGGGCTGGGTGGGTGGAAGACGGTTGGGAGACGGTGGGGGCCGATCCACACAGCAAATCAAAGAGCCGTCCTGGGCAGGGGAAGCCCGGATGAGGGCGGGTGCGGGCGGCAGCTTAGTGAGCCCGCAGCAGAGAGCACAGGTGCCCCGTGTCCCTCGGGAGCTGGCAGACCCCCCCCCCCCAGAGTGTCCTCCCTCTTCAGGCCACCACTGCACAGTGGTCGATCTCCTGTTGGCTGGCATTTGTGAAGGCGGCTGGCCGGGAAGAAAGGACAGAGGCTAGGGAACTAAATGGACCCAGGCCCAACTCTGGGCCCTGTTGCTCATGAGTTTGTTGGTGTGGGCTGAGCTGCTTACTCCCTCTAAATCTTCTAATCTGAAAACCTAGGACAGTATGCCCTTCTACAATGCTGTTGGAGTTAAAGGACACATGTAAATAAGACATTTTTCTGTGCCTGGCATATAGAAGGGCTCAAACATATAGTCTTTGGAGCTGATTCCTCTCTCTCTGAAACAAGCTTGGTTCATGTTTGCAGAACAAAGAGATGATTGAAAAGAGATGGCTGGATAGATGGTAGCTGGCTGGCTGGCTGGCTGGCTGAGTGGGTAGATGGACAGATGGACGGATGGACGGATGGATGGATGGATGGATGGATGGGTGTGTAGATAGAGGGACGGAATAATGATCTGACCAAAGCCCTGCCCAAACCAGAGAATATCCTAGAAGTCCCCTCTAGGGCTTCCACCTGTGGGATGTGATGGAGTTAGCATGGAAAAGGGGTGTGGGCTACTCTGTGTTGGTGGGGCAGCCTTAGGGTGAGCCAGACCAGAACATGCCAGCAGGGAAGGGCACATGCACACATACTCACAGCAAATAGAAAGCCAGGCTTTTGAACTGCCCCTGGAGGAAGGTCTCAGTGCCCACGCCGATCAACACTAAGAGGGGAAGAGGAGAGGGGAGGGTGGGCCTGGGTGCTGCAGCCACACGGCGGCCCTGTGGAAGGTTCCCTGGCTGTAGAGTGAGCCTTCTCCCCGGGGACTGAGAGCCAGAGAGGCTCTTCTCCAGGCACAGGTATTGGTGGCTGGGAAAATGCAAGGGAACAAGGAGCCTTCTGGATTGGTCTCTGGAAACCAGACGGGTTTCAGCAGAACCCCAGAGGTCTTTTACTCCAGCTCCCAGATCGCAGATGCCTTTCCTCCTCTGCCTACATTGGCCATGCCTCATGCCCCCAGACACAACATATGCTCCCAGGCCTCCAGCCCCTCGGTTCCACAGAAGTCATGGCTTCAAGGGCCCTCACTGTCCTGCAGGCCATGCCCATATGTGCTGTGGGTCTGGGTTCAGTGCTTGGCCATGGGTGGGACCTTCCCAATCCCTGTTGCCCAGATCACTGTTCTAGCTGTTTCTGTGACCCCGTTTTCACTTGCTGTTTTGGTAGCTGTATCATACTTCCTGGTTCCTTGCTTTGGACCCACTGCTGGCTGAGCCCCTGAGGGCTTGCTCTGACACGAGAAGCTGATTAGCTTCGTCCTTCTTCCTGCCCCTTCTTGGCTGTTGGGGTTTGCACACAAGTACTCAACCTTCCATTTGTCCAGAGTGAATATTGTCTTGGACACAGCTTTCCAGACTTGCTGGCTCCGGGCTGTCTCCTCACAGGGATTCCCTTGCTCTCCCTGCTTCACTCTTTGAGCTGTGGCTCCAACTCCATCTGCTCACCGATGGAAACATTCCACAGACAGCACTGACAGGTCCTGAAACCTTCCTCCAGGGCTGCATGGCCCACTAACTAGAATTCTTTCTGGTCCTAACTGATTACACTGTATGTATCCTCCATTTCTCTCTGGGGTCAGCAGACACCCTCTTGTAGTGGCCGCATTGTGGCTTCCTCTGGTCTCCCTCCCAGAAAATCAAAGATGGCAGTGCTAGGCTGTCATGTTTGGCTCTCTGTACACGGCCGTTCATCTCTGCTGTTCAGGAGGCTACTTCCCTGAGTCTGATGACTCTCCTCCCTGGAAGACACCCAGTAAGCTTCCATCCCTGGTGTCCTGAGCCTTTTGTCCATATGGAAATGAGAAACCATGTGAGGACCCACACTGAGGCCACCGGCACCTCCCCCCTCACTTCTGAGAGGACTGGATTGTGGAGGTACCTCAGGGAGCAGGGCACAGGGTGCTTCAGTCTAGGAAGGGAGGGGAGATGCCTAAGTATGCTTGGTGAGGGAAGGTTCCGGGGCTCCCCTGGGCTTGGTCTAGAGCCATGGAGGACACTGCCTCTGCCCTCTTCAGGTTCTAGATGTTCACGCTTGTACCAGGTGAGGGGCCATGAGTGCTGAGCAGCCACAGACCCTTCTAGAGGGTCAGCATGACCTACAGAGCACTTAATGCTTTATACACGACGGTCACACTTGTGCTCACTCCTCCCGGCAGCCTGAGACACAGGCACATCTGTGCTTCCTATTTTACTGGGGAAAACAAGGCTCAGTCAGTCACCATGCCCCATAGTTCCAAGGACACGCCAGAAAGTAAAGGACCTGCAGAACAAACTTGAGAATCTGTCTGTCTATCTTTCTGTGTGTGTGTGAGTGTGTGCGCATGTGAGATGTGTGCCTATGTGCGTGGGGTGTGTGTGTGTGTGTGTGTGTGTTCTGCAGGCAAATGCCCATCTATTTAGTTTTCACTAACTATCCTGTCCTGTTCTCAGCACTTAGCACTTATTAACTTTTTAAATCACCACGACAGTCCTATGTGAAAGTCTTATGTTATCCTCATTTTACAGGAGGGAAACTGAGGCACAGAGCGCATAGGCAAAACCAACCTGCCAACCTGGGCCATTCCAGCATTTCGGTCTCACATTTGCCGGTTAAAAGCTGAGTCACTCAGTCTCTCTGAGCCTCAGATTCCACCTTACCCCTCTTGCGCATGGTGGTTATAAGGATTCAGTTAGCTGACTAGTGCCAAGCACCTTACAGGTGCTCAGTCCCTTGCGCGCATTCCGGGATCGGGGTCAGTTTTTGGAGATTTGCATGGCCTTGCGGTGAGTGACCAGCAGGTGGCAGGAAAGGGTCTTGGGAACTCAGCCCTTTACCCGGATTTGTTTGGCACTCTTACTCTGATGCCTTCTGATGGAAACAAAAGGTCTATAGTCAAAGGGGCATTCTAGGAATGCTGTAGGGGCAGCACTGGTTTGCAGTTAAAAAAACAAATCGATGAAACAGCAGAGAAGAGAGAGAGCTGGGCTGGAATCCCCGTTTTGTGAGTTCTTACCTTGGTAACCATGGGTAAGCACTTAGCACAGAAGGGGGCTATGGGCAATCCTTGTGAGCCGAGGCCTGGGAGTGGGTCTTGAAATATCAGCATGCACAGGATGGGCAGGGAGGGCCTTCAGTGTTTTGGGGAGGCTGAGTGACATGTTCAGATTGGCGTTTCAGAAAGCGACCTGACCTCGGGCTACAGGGTAAGAGGCTTTGGTGATATTTGGCTGAGAGGAAGCAACAGAGGGGAGGAAGTAACCATGTTCTGAGTGATCATGGCCTCCCAGTGTCCCAGCACACCAGGAGCCACTGGCTCCTTTGTTGGCCTGGCCTGAAGCAAAGTTCTGGTCATGGCTCCTGACGGTGTGCCCAGGACCTTGTTCACCTGTTTTAATACGCGGGTGCTAGTAGGCACAGGAGATCAGGAGGGGAGGTTGGTTCTGCCTGGGGGATCCGACAAGCTCTCCAGGCACAGAGAAGGGCCAGCCTTGCCATTGCAGCCTAGTTTCCATTTTTTTTTTTTTTTTTTTTTTTTCCGGGGTAGTGGAAGGTGGCGGCATAGGACGGAAGGTGTCTGGGTTCGGAAGCCCCCTGGGTGTGCCAGCCCAGCTACCTCTCAAGGAAGTCCCAGCACGTGCGGCAAATAGCAACCCCCTCACCCCCATGAATCTTATGTAGTCTGGACCACATCCCTCAAGGTGGGAATCCTCAACCCCATGTTATTTATGGAAACATCCCAGCAAGACTCCTGGAGGTGCAGCGCCTGGCCCAGGGCAGGCTGGTGGAAAGGGGGCAGAGGGAAGCCGAAAGCAGGACTGATTTTCAGGGGGCTCCAGGAACCCCCAGCAGAGGAGGACTGTGGTGTGAATGGTGCTGGAGGGGAGCACATTTCCTGGGGGCCTTCATGTGAATGGGAGTGTCACATGCATGAGACCCTCGTTGCCATGGGCACTGGACTGCTGTGTCCCCCAAGCCCAGCGGTGAATGGAGTTTTGTAATGTCTGCCACAGAATGGCCAAAGACCGCCTCATGGCCTCAGGGAGCTTCCTAGTGCCTAAGGTGCGGGTTGTGGTGACAGCCCCTCTGCCCCTCAACCTGAGGGCTCGGTGCGGGGCCCCAAGCCTGAGCAGAGTTCTCTTCTGAAGGTCAGAAGTAGCCCCAGCCCAATCTCCTTGCCCAGGGCAGTTCCACCCAGCCATCCAAGAATCGTTCTGGTTGGCCAGGGTCCAGAGTCCCCAGTGGTCAGTCTGCACCCTTGTTTATGGCACAGCCTGTGCGCCGGGCCCGGTAAAGAACTACGGGCTGGAGCGACTGTCACGGACCCAGGAAATGAAGAGCCGTGGAGGGTGGGACAGGGCCCAGCAAACACGCTGAATGCAGGCTCCATTCTGCCTGGGAACCAGGATGGCTCCACCGAGAAGGAAGGCAAGGCGAGGCCAGGAGCCAGAGCTGCACGAACGAGAGCCCGGAGCAGCATGAACGAGAGTCTGGAGCTGCTGCCGTGGTTCCGTGGGCTTCTCCGTGCAGTTCCTGTAACTGGGCAAGGTCACGGGTTCTACCTGGGGCAGCAACAGTGTGACTTCCCGGGCCCACACCCTCAAGTCTTTTTGCACCTTGCAACTTCCTCCTGCCCCTCTGAGGGAGCCAAGTCCACGGAGAAAGCTGCACCCCGCGTTTCTGGGGGAAACTCTATTCCCACAGTCTAGGTGCCAATAAGTACCCTGGGCATGAGGCCTGCTTCTGCGAGAACTTAATCTCCTCCCCATTACTTATCTCCTCAAAGGCCTCCTGGGTTTCTGAACATCACACCAGCGGCCATGACTGAGGTAAAGTGAGCTAGGAATGGTCTCCTTGTAAAGGTATTCCTGCTGATCCTGGGAGCAGCAACAGTCCCAGAGACCAGACCGGTAATCTCTGGCAGAAAATGGGAATTGGCCCCCCATGTACCTAGTACTGTTAGGTGAGAGAAATACCCCTAATTACAGCAATGCAATTTGGGGTTTCTTTGTAAGAATAGGGTGCATTAGATGGGGTTTCGTTGTTAGCATAGGGTGCATTAGATGGAAGCGGACCACAAATTCTTTGCAACTTGTCTCATTAAGAGGTGGAGTCTAATTCCCCTCTCTTTGAATGAGGGCTGGCCTTAGTGACTCTCTTGCCCAATAGAATGATCCAAATTTACACTGCAGTTCACAAAGAGCTTCTGCCCAGCCCTCTTCAAATGCTGGTTCTGGGGCAGCCACTCCCTCTGTAAGAAGTCTGATGCTTCTGAGACCACCATGTGTGAGGAAGCCCAAGTGAGCCATGGAGAGAGAATGCTAGAGAGAGAGAAAGAGAGAAAGAGAGAGAGAGAGAGAGAGAGATTCATGACCAGCCCCCCGCTGGCTCAAACCTCTCCACCAGGCATAGATGTGTCAGTGAGGAAGTTTCTAGACGACATCACAGCCCCAGCAGGTACGAAGTGGAGAAGAACTGATGAGCTAAACCAACAGTCAGAAGCAAAGCTCCAGATGTTCAGCCCTAGATGCTCCATTGCAGCCCCCCACCTGAGATCTCTGCCTTCATGCACCGAGCCGTCTCCACTGCTTTCTGTCTGAATTCCTGACACAACATTTCAAGCTTAATAAAATTGATGTAGGCTTAAGTCACTAAAGTTTGAAGTAGTTTTATTCTGCAGCCACAGAT